ACGGTTATAAAATGAATGAAGTTGAAGATGTAAATGCATATGAACTTTTGTTTACAGATCATGTCTTGTTGTTTGAGAACCCAGATGCAAATGTTGGGCATACTGCATAATGCAATGAAAAAAATGCACCTGGAATTTATTATACAGAAATAAGAGACAAGGTCAAGAATACATGGATGCTGAATGAATGTAGACTCAGTACAGAAATTAACTGTTAGTATGAAACAGGTACTTTAAGATGGTTTTGTTTTTATTTTTGTATTGTATATAAACCAAAACAAAAAAAACATAGCTGAATGTAGTTGATGAAGTCCTGAAGGAAAACAAATCAAAGCACAAAAGCAATGAATGAACCAGAATATGATGGAAACAAATATAATTTGCATGTCTTGAAAAGTATGTTTTGTTTTTTCTCTTAAAAAAACCCCATACCTTTATTTGTTTTTTTCTAACTTTTACTCCTCTCCTGTACTCTGGATTATTTTATCCTACAAAGGAGTAGTATGATGAATCTGGATGCAAATGCTAACAATGAATAATAATTCCATTAAGGAGAGAATATTTTTTAATCTCCCTTTGATCTGCATAGGCAGGTTGCCCCAGCACAGGCGCAGGCCACTGTTTTTATGAGCAGGAACGCATGCTTTCTCTCTCCCGCTCTTCCATGAGAAAGGCAATAACCATACTAGTAATTTCCTGCTATGAATCAAAAGTAGTTTTTTCAGAGATGACCAGCACTGCGGTGTTGTACAGCTTGCCTACTGTTTGTTCTTTATTCTATTTAACTTTAGTCCAATTGACTACTTAAACTTCTTCTTTAGTCACAGGTTGCTGCCCTGTATGGTCATTTTGTCCTCACTGCTCCTTCCTGAAAGCTCCTCAACCAGTGAATCTCTGTTTTTTGTTTTCTATTTATTTACTGGATCTTAAAAGGAAAGTTAGTTGGAGGAATCCAGGAAAGCATTTTTAACAACTTTGCCAGTAGAATGGGGAAGACAAATCTCCCTCTTCTTCACAGATGGAATGATGAAAAGAAGGATTTTAAAAAAACAGATAAGAATTCTCTCAAATGTTCTTTATTGTGCAAACAATAAAATGGTAGTATTTTTTCAGTTTAGAAATTATTTGTGTACAGTTTAATTTTTACACTTTTATGTTTAATTCACACAAATATTCATTTCCTATATTTTTCAGTAAATTCCCTCTATAACAATATTCAGATCAAAACATAATTCTAGGATGGTTGACCTTGAATCTTATTCATATTATTACATTCTGTTGTGCACTGATTGCACATAGTGGATTGTTAATGTGTTTTGCAGTATCTGTATGTTGCAATTTCCAAGAGAGCGAATTCTTGTTTTTCTTCTATCTGAATCTCTCCCTTTAAAACAAAAAATTATTTTGGTGTGCATGCGTGCATATATTTGCACACTGGCATTGTAAAGCTTTCATTTTCCAGAAAACAACATTGGTCCAGTTTTTAACTGGCCACTTTTTGTGAGTGTATTAAATCTGTAGCTTGGTTCACTGTCAGCTTTAGGCAAACTACTGAGCTGTTATTAATCTGCTTCCATGGTAACTGCTGCTTACAAGCCTAAGGACAAAAATGTGTTCTTCTGCTAAGCTGCACAAGAGGTTCTAGTGATACTTTAGACAAAATGGCCATTGAAAGGCAATTGCATTGATGTGTATCAGTCATGCATATTTTACAGTCAAGGAATTTTGGTATCTTGGGTTAGTGTTGCACATTATCACTGTTTTTCCACATTCTATTTTTAATATTTTCCATTGCAGTTTTTTTAATCAAGTTATTTGCTCCATTTGTATTTGCACTTTACATATAAGCTTTTATCTCCTCAAAGACTACATAATTTAAATGAACAATTCTTTTCTTGGTAACTGCTGTAATGTAATAAATATGAATATTAACATACTATTTGTAAGAAAAGGAATGATATGCAGAATTTGGTTGACATAAAAATAACATTGAAATATTAAATAAGATAACAATGAAAGATTATAACTTAATAAAAATAACTGTACTATTGTTAGAATTATGTAACTTGTCAAACGTAAATATGATGAATATTATTTTATGTGTATTAAATAAGTTTTAAAATGTGATTAAAAAGGGTTTTTTTTAAATATAGTGGCATTATTAAACATCAGATGGGATAAATGATGGAAGATTATGACCCATATAAATTTGTGAATTATTATTAGAACTATATAAGTGTAAAACACTACAAATATGATTAACAATATTTTATTCGTAGTAAAAAGAGGGATATTTAGAACATGAAGATTGACACAAAAATAACATGCTGAAATAGTGAATAATCAAAGAATGAAAGATTATAACTCAACAAAATATGTGTATTAATATTAAATTTTATAAGATTGTCAACTGTATTAAATATGAAGAATATTGTCATATTTGTCTTAAAATGTAAGACACTCCAGGACCACACTGTTCACACATTGATATATTTGTAAAAAAAGAAAAAAATCTTAAAAAGCCACTTTTTCAAACAACTGGAGAGCAGCAGGACTTTATGGAGTGTGTACTGAGTTTCAGTGACAGAAGTCTAAGAGCACCTAGAAATCCATATACAGATTACTGGCAAGCTCCATTCCATTGTAGCAGGAGAGTGTGAGAATTCTTTGCTTTCTAAGGACTGAACATGACACAGCATACAGCACATCTGTACACGCTTCTTTATTGCACCTTCCCCAGTAAATAGCCTATTGCTCTCCACTTTTCTAGGATTTTAGAAGTCCTTGCCATGTCTTTAAAACTCAGCCTTTTAATACTTGGTCCAAACAAAGTCTCAAAGTCTATAAAGTAGGACACAATATTTGCTTTTTGTCAAAATTCTTCTTCTATGTCTGTTTTCCTTTTCCTCCTCCCTCCTTGTCGTCTTCCTAATTTTATTTAATGTCTATCCCATCAAATTACTTTGGGTGGCAAACAATAATCAGATAAAACTATGCTAGTTTGGGATTGGGTGTTGGTGTGGATATTCGTGTTCTAGTTGCAACTAAGGTCCTGGCAAAGCTCCAACCTCCAGGCAGAACTCCCACTAGGATATGCTATGTATGAAGGAAACAGAGATGGGGAGTGTTTCTGCCTGACTGCAGCTGCTTTTTCATAGAATAGAATAGAATAGAATAGAATAGAATAGAATAGAATAGAAT